CCCCAAAACCCCAAAACCCCAAAACCCCAAAAAAACCCCAAAACCCCAAAACCCCAAAACCCCATTTCTTCTCCAAATGATCAGAATATTCCAAAACTATATTAGTCGACCCTCAATAGGAGCAGCTGTAATTATTAAGCCAAAGTCCTTTATAAGGGAGATTAATCCTCTGTTCAAGAGATTTCGTCGTTTTTGTAGTCCTCAGCATCTGGGGATTTAGGGTTGAGCTATATATGAGGAGAGAGAGTACCTGGAATAAGTGCAAAGGATCAAGGACTTCGGTCCCCTTGAAATCATTACTAAGGGAATAGTAGTTTGCCACATCTTCCTTGTTAAAACCCTCGTACATTTTATTTTCAAAAAATATTTCATGGGCTTCTTTCATAGCTGTAAACATTTTGTTTCTGACTCTTATGAGAGACTTAACTAACTTTCTCATTGTGAATCAGAATTTCTCTGTTTTAGAAGAAATATTGATCCACCGTTCAATCAATTTTTCAGAAAAAGAGTATTTGTAAAGCAGTGTTTCAATTATTTTCCGATGGCTTGATTTATTCTCAGAATCATCACTGCTTTCTTTAGTCAGGTTCTGGTCTTTTGAGTCAGCTCTATAATATTTATACTGACTTCGATCATTCCTGGTTTTATCTCTTGCAATTTCGAAAATCTTCTTTGATTCGAAGTGGTTCAATATAGCAAGAGAAACCTTGTAATTTAGTGACATTCAGTTGTTTATAATCTTGTTGAAAGAGTTCTTAAGAACTTGTACTCTGCAAGATCCATGGGGTCCTTCTGAATTTCGATACGTCTCAAACATCGACATCCTGAACTGGTCTGGGTTTTGTCTTATGATCTTTGGCAAGCTTCAGTACATGAAGTTCTCTTCTCGATAAAGTTGAGCTAAAGGGTCATTTGTTGGAGAGGCATTAGAGGAAGCTTGTATTGTTGCCTTCAACTTTCTGTTTTCCTCCTCTAATTCATGCACCCTCCTTTCAAGGTCTTCATAGTACTTCTTCTTTCTCTCTCTGTGGATCTTTGATCGCTCCTTGGCGCTGAGGGTCTGTTCCTTCTTGGCTCTTTCCTTTTTAACTCTCTTCTTATCCATTTCTATAATAAAAACTTCAATCTTTAGGAAACAAATTGGGGTTTTGGGGTTTTGGGGTTTTGGGGTTTTGGGG